AAAGTATTAAGGTACAGTTATCAAAATGTGACCCTAAAAAATTAATCCGCATACACATTTGACGCTGCCGGAGTCACCATATTAAAAATAGCTCCTATCTTTAATCGTTCATAACATGGCTAAAAAGTAAGGCATTGAAATATAAAAAATGCATTTTATAGGGGATGCACAATACATTCATGACTCCTGATCGAAATTTCAAGATAACGTTAACCTTCTTTATTAAAAAATATCAAATATCGCAAAAAAGCTATTTTTTAAGTATTAAATCTCAATTATCTTGGAAATTCGACGTGCTAGAATTTTTTCGCTTGTGGCATTGTTTTTAGCATTCAAAAATCTATAAAAGACACGTAGTCCGGTCCAAAATAATTTTTTGCTGTAAACTAGTGTTATTTTTAATATATCGTAGACTCACTTTTGTGGCGGCTTTACAAGCCGCATAGGGGCACCTACAGAATGGTAATTCGGCGCACTGGCGTATGCGAGGCAACCCGTTGCCTGTTGTGCGTCAACTTTCTCGAGAATGCTTTGCGATGCCAGCTTTCTCGCAAGCGCTCACGGATAGAGATTCTCTAGGTAGAGATTGGCCAAAGCTCCAGCACGATGTTGTGAAACTGGAAATAACGTGATTTTGGAAATGCGCGTGCTTAGAGATCTTCTAGGGGCGCGCATTTCCCAAATCATGTCATTTCCGGTTTCACAACATTGTGCTGGGCTTTGGCCGATCTCTACTCGCGGACCGCGGAAGGTTAGTGCTGCAATACAGCCCTCAGGAGGCCGACGCGACGATCAAGCACCCGCATTTAAGATTCGCCCAGGGTGGATGGTAGCAGCCTCTATCTTAGGCGTCGTCTACAATACACGGAGTAAGAAGTAAGAGTAAGAAATTGACCAATCACAGTCGATTATTCTTCTCACATTCGACTGTGATTGGTCAATTTCTTACTCTTACTTCTTACTCCATGTATTGTAGACGGCCCTACAGATGACGGTAAACGCAGTGTTGCTAGTATGGCTGGTCTCTAGCTCAGTGTTACCAGGTACTGGCGAAGCAATTTCCCTGTTGGGATATGAAAATCTCTCTAGTTTTTCCTTTTTCTGTTTTTCCCAAAATTCTTGTTTTTCCAAATTTTCTGTTAATTTCATCTATTTCTCTTAAATTCACAAAATTTTTGTTTTTTTATAAATTTTATTAAAATAAAATCATAAATTATTTTTTTTATTAATATATCATAGTTTGGAATTATAATAAATATGAAACAATACATATAGATCTTTCTTACACGGCATTGGTAAAACCGTTTTATGAAACTGGTCAATGTAGCTGTTCCTCGGAAGAATAGAACGATTGTGATTGGCTAGTTTTATAAAACGGTTTTACCAATGCCGTATAAACGTAGTAATATACAGGAAAATATATAATAATAAGTACTATAAATTAATGATATATTTTTATTGTGCAATATTAGAAAAACGAGTTTTAAAGAAACAAATAATGCGTATGATTTTAACATAAGTCTAATATGGGATCTACAATTGAAGTCGTAGCGGTCGTCTTAAATCATAGAAAATTGACCAATCACAGTTGAATATGAGAAGTATAATCGACTCTGGTTGGTCAATTTTCTACTAAAGACACTATTACCGCTACGACTTCTATTGTGGACTTAGTATTAGAAATCAGATGTAAAATGTAACACTTACTGAAGTTGACAAAAAAGACAGGTCAATAAAAAATTTTTATCTCGTAGCCAACACCAGACTGCTCGACTTCGACACGGTGCGGAATAAAACTGCGGAATAGAGAATGCGTCATTGAAGCAAGCAATCAGCGCTATTCGGAATAGCGGCGAATAGTGCTGATTGGTTGCTTCTATGACGCATTCTCTATTCCGCAGCCTTATTCCGTACCATGTGATTTCACCCTGACGGCCGATCACCGAATTACCAACCGAAAACCGAGCATAAAACAAAATTTTCATTTACCGTGAAAGTTCCTTAAATTTTAACTTATTTTCACAAAAAATCCCTTTTTCCCTTTTTCAATTTTTTTCTTGTAATTCTCCCTAGATTTCGGGAAATTTTCTCGCACCTGGCAACACTGCTCTGGCTATTGCGTCGTGCTGCGTCTCCTCTGCCGCAAGGCGTGGCTGTTCCTTGGCCTCTGCTGGGCCTTGGTGATCCTCTGCTAGTTGATTGCCTCGCCGCCCCTGCGTTGAGGACCTGTGCTGGAGCACCTCCACTGGACTGCTGGACCTGGCCTCCGCTATCACTCTGCGATGCTGGGCTTCCACTGATAGCCAGCCGTGCTGCGCCTCTTCTACCGGTCGACACTCTTGCCGGTCTCGTGGTACGTCAACTTGGCAAGCTTCTGGATACACTGGGGTGTCTCTTGGAATCGTTTTGAGTAATTTGACTCCGCCTAGGCGGGCCTTATATCTCCCGCTGAGCAAATCTCTAACACGGGTTCGTGGTTGTCGCACCAGCTCCCTAGGGGCTAAGTCACAGTACTCGCGATTCGCGGTCTGCGAGCGCTCGTGAGAAAGTAGGTGTCGCAAGGCACTCGCGAGAAATAAAAATAAAAATTAAGTAAAGGGCGTATAAGAGTCAATAACACAGGCCTGCAAAATTGGAGGTGTTGAAAGTTGATTGGGATTTAACTATGTTTTCTTACGTAATTTTTCGCGCTGAATCCGAATCCGGCGGCAGAATTGCTCTATCACGTCAGGTTTTTGAGAAAAGTGAGGTTAAAGGTGTCAAAATTGACGTTTTTTGGCATATTTGTGATTTTTTTGCTAGCGAAGTAAATTTTTTTTCTACTTTCATTTACGCCATCTGAAAGTGTCAACATTTATCTTCAAAATATATTTTTTTTAACGCCGTACGTTTTTTTTCACCGAGATAATCTCTGTGTAGTCACACAAAGAAAAACATTTTTGACACAAAATATTTGTGTGATTACGCAGAGATTAACTATGTTTTCTTACGTAATTTTGGACGCTTTGAGACGGTCCAAAATGGATTTTGAAGGGGCTGTATAGTAGGAAATGATACCATCGATGGATTAGACGACAAAAATTTTATCAATTTTTAATTGAATTTCAAATATGGTTGAAAATGGCTTATTTGGCTGTTTTGGGATAAGATTTCTCGAAATCTCGACGTGATAGAGCAATTCTGCAGCCGGATTCGGATTCAGCGCGAAAAATTACGTAAGAAAACATAGTTAATCTCTGCGTAATCACACAAATATTTTGTGTCAAAAATGTTTTTCTTTGTGTGACTACACAGAGATTATCTCGGTGAAAAAAAACGTACGGCGTTAAAAAAAATATATTTTGAAGATAAATGTTGACACTTTCAGATGGCGTAAATGAAAGTAGAAAAAAAATTTACTTCGCTAGCAAAAAAATCACAAATATGCCAAAAAACGTCAATTTTGACACCTTTAACCTCACTTTTCTCAAAAACCTGACGTGATAGAGCAATTCTGCCGCCGGATTCGGATTCAGCGCGAAAAATTACGTAAGAAAACATAGTTAAATCCTAATCAACAAAACCATGCAGGCCTGTGTAATCAGTAGAACTTAAAAGTAAAATAAAACATATAATATAATTTCTCGATATCAATCCTTACAATATCTTAGTGGTATAACGTCTCGGTTGTCTAACAATTACATGTTTCGGCTTCTTGATCGAGCCATCTTCAGATTTACAAAATTTGTAGTCGTGAAACGTAGTAAACGAGTAAATAGAAAAACCATGATATGAATATTTCATAGACATTATACCGTTATTTTGAGACATTGTACCACCAAGATATTGTAAGAATTGATATCGAGAAATTATATTATATGTCTTTATTTTACTTTCAAGTTCTACTGATTATTGACTCTTATATGCCCTTTACTTAATTTTTATTTTTATTTGATAACAAGAGTCTTTATACATATTTATTATTTTTTACTCGCGAAAAAGTTGACGCGTGCCGTGCTCTGTTCTGCAGGCGCCTGTATATTGGGTTGCCTGTGGTACTGGCGCTTGCAGCCGCCACAGCGTACAATACCTGAAATCCCTGATGTCCCATCTTTGTCTTCGTCAAATAATTTCCTCTCATACTCATGTAACCTACAAATCTACGTCCATCATTGACTTCATCATGACTTCATCTTCCTTTTGCGTCGTTTATTCTGGCGTGTGCGATGATGTCTCTATCAATGATCATTGTGCTGTTCTTCGAGTAGATCGGCCGCCAAGACGCTCAAACGTTTACCTTGCACGAAATTTGCGTGCAGTTGATTTCTCCTTGCAGCAATCGACTGGTTCCAGATGCATTAGGAGTTACGCATCGATGCCAAAGTCATCTGTTTTGTTTCGTTGATAGTATCTATTTTCGATCGTTTGGCGCTCTGTTTACGTGATGCTACTCTCGATCGTCTGCTCCGTGAATGAAATCGGCTAATTTTTTTGAAGCGCCGTGCGTTGGTCAGATTCGGGTGGCACCCAGTTGGACACGAGCCACTCACAGCGCTTGAGACTACAAAGCTCCTAAGCACCGGTCGCTGTGATTGGTGGTGTCCAATCGAGACGTGGTCAATCGGGATCATCCCATCAGGCGGATCCGACTCGAGGCTGATTGGCAATGTTATCGCGAGCTTCGAAATTGCACCGCTTCCGCTATTTGTCGCGAAAAGAGATCATTCTTGACATCATCCCTCTCCTCTGGAATTCCGCGGCAATTTTGGCATAACCTTTTTCTTCTTGGCGTCAGGTCCTCTTCCTCCAATATTATCCCTTCTCATCTCCTTGATTCTTCCTAATTAATAATCATTTCATTGACTCTCTCATCCTCTCTTCCTTCCAACATCACTCTATTTATTTATTACCTCTAAAAAAAATTCCGATATATTTTCATTTGTTCCTATTACTGCTTCCGAACTCTTTGATATCTTTAAGCACATCAACCTCACCTCCGCGGGTCTGCAAGATCTCTTTGGACGCATGCTTTTTCTCTATCTCCCACAATCGATTCATTTCTTCATATACTCAATTACGCTCTAGTTTTCAATACGTTCTCTACATGTTGAAAGCTGTAGTCCTCCTTATCCCTAAGACTCGTAATCCCTCCTCTCCTTCTTCCTTTCGACCCATATCACTCACTCCCTTCCTCTCGAAACTCCTGGAGCGGATATGTTACATGCAGCTGAACTTATTTTTTAACTCTACAAATTGTATATCGAATTGCCAATCCGGCTGCCGGTATATGTACAGTACAACCACCGAGCTGCTGCACATATCTAACTCTGTACTCCGTGGGTCCGACTCTGGTCTTCTAACTTTCGTAGTTGCTTCAGATTTTTCTAAAGCGTTCAACACCTTTAACCATGAGTTTCTATTATTCAAATTCTACCACTATGGCTTCTCGCCCTCCGCTATCTCCTTCCTTCGTTCCTTCCTTGTAAAGCGTTCTCAAAGAATTTTGCTGTATACCCCGAAGCCTTCTTTCTCATTATCCCGCCTTCTAGAGTCCCTCAGGCTTCGATCTTTGTTCTCCTATTATTCACAATTCTTCATTGTCGATCTACTCTCTATTTCTATTACCTCTGTTTTAAACTTCTGTTTTACGCTGCTGATGTTTTTCTTTCTTCCTTCGATCCATTCGACTTTTAAACGGCTGCGGATACTTTTAATCACGATATAAAATATGTCGCTGAATGGGCCTCTGCTAACTCTTTTCATTTAAATCCATCCAAATCTAGCCTCTTAATTGCTAGTTTTGTTCCCTCGTTATATCATCCTTCTTCATTTGATATCTCTCTGAACTCGATCACAATTTCTCGTTCAGCCCCCATTAAAATTCTTGGAGTCCATTTTGACTTTTCCTGGATTTCTCCTTTCTGTACATACGTCTCTGTAAATGCCAAGTCGCTTTCTTTCGCGTCTTCGCCTACTATATTCCTTTCCTCATATCCTAAATTTTTTTCAAAAGCTCCTAGTCTCTCAATTTCTTATGGTGTCTTTGTATGATTACGCTGACGTGGTTTACATTCCTTCACTAATTCAAAAATTGTTAACCTGTATTCAACGCATCCAAAACTCTTGCCTACGTTTCTCATACAATGCCCGGAAATACGACTACCTATCCTCTTCTTTCAATAGTTCTGGTTGGTTAGATGTTCGTTAACGATTCATTCTCCACCTGTGTTGTCTTGTTTTCATATTCTTCCTACTAACATTCCTCCTTATTTCCCCAATCTTTTGCTCCTTAACTCCGAACTGCATTCTTCGGATACTCCCGCCACCGTTACTAAGATTCCTTAGCTTTTCCTCGCCACCGTTCACCTAAATTTCGCTTCGCTTTCTCCTATGTCGCTGTCAAATTTTTTAATTTATTGCCTGTCTCCATTCGATTTTCCTCCTTACTGTCCTCTTTTCGCTTAGCCATGTGTCGATTTCTTTGATTTGCTGGTCGTCATTTCTATAGTCGTATCATGTACACCAGTTCAAGTGCTGCCTCTTAGCTCCTCCAAAAAAAAAAAAAAATAAATAAATAAAAAATTGTATTGTGTTATGCGATTATATTCTTCATTATATTTTGTGTTATTTATGCGCCATTTATGTGTTATGCGCTTATTTTCATCTGAATCTTATTATTTTGCTAATTTAGTTTTAAATATTAAATATTATTAATTTTAACTGGCTCGTAGTCCTTGTGATTCACTTATATTTGATTTATTATTTTGTGTTATTTTTTGTATTAATTTTGCGGCATTTTTGCGTTATACAATTTATACAAATATAGAAATTTCATTATCAAGTCTAGTATCGTAGTAGCCTGTTATACTCTAGTAGGCGTTGTAGCAGCAGTTTTGCTTGTGCCTCACCATTTTGCGTACCTATAGTGTCTTAACTTTATTATTAATATCTGTTTTCTATTCTCAAACCGTAATTATTTATTTGTTATGCAAATAAATAAACAAATAAAAAATAAAAGTAAAATTTTTTTCTATGGGGATTCGCTTATATTTTTGTACACGTTTATGGTTTTCACACATTTTTAACTATATAACTTTACAAGTATCATAAAAATAAGTGTAGTAACAAGAAGAGGCTACACTCTGCTTTTGATCAAATTTGCAGCGATGTTAGAGGAGCTCACCAAGTGAAAGTTAAAGATACCAAAAATCTGGAAACAGTTTAATATCTCAGAAAGATAGTATGCGTTTTTGAGAAAAATGTTTTATTGTTAGACTAAAGTGGTAAGGTTTAATAAGATATATTTACTGGTTTTATTGGTTTGACCGGATGGCACCCAGTTGGATACGGCTCAATTGGACACGAGCCACTCACAGCGCTTGAGACTACAAAGCTCCTAAGCACCGGTCGCTGTGATTGGTGTCCAATCGAGACGTGGTCAATCGGAATCACCCCGGTTTGACCTTGGATAGCATCGTCAAGGTCAAGTCAAGGTTGACGATGTTGCCCAAAGTCAAACCAATAAAACCAGTAAATACATCTCATTAAACCCTACCACTTTTGTCTAAGACATTTTTCTCAAAAATGCATAATTTCCGAAATATTAAACTGTTTCCAGATTTTTGGCTTATTTTTAAATGCTCATTACTTGATTTCTAAGGCCCATTAGCGGGAGCAGCTTTATAGGTGTTCACTTGGTAGGCTCCTCTAACATCGCTGCCAGTTTAATCAAAATCACTGAAGAGCATAGCCTCTCCTTGTAAAAACGGGACGTAATTACACTATTATATTACAAGTGAACACTGCATAACTTAACATATCAAAAAATGACAACTACTTTTTAATATTGCAAAAATCTCTTGTAATGAATTGAGTGATATATTGCATAGTAAATTGCTTTAACTAATATTAATAATGTAATCTTCTTACGGACTCTCTCAAATTCAACAATAAAAAATCCAAAAAAAATCAGGGCAAATGAGAGCAATAACAAAATTCAAAATATAACTCCTTTCATGTCCAAGGAAAAATCACCATTAGATTTACAGATTTGACGTTGTAAAATCTCAAAACATAAAAGGAATTTGTCTCAACACTGGATAAAAAATTATGCTTTAAACGATTAAAATTTATTATTTACCATTAGAGAATGTCATGTTTTAATCGCTTAAGCATGATTTTTTGATCCAATGTTGAGACAAATTTCTTTTATGTTTTGGGATTTTACAACATCAAATCTGTAAATCTGATATTGATTTTTCCTTGGACGTGAAAGGAGTTATATTTTGAATTTTTTTATTGCTGAGGATGGCTACAAAGTGAGTCGAAACGTACTATGGTTTTTTTGGAATAAAGATTTAAGATTACATATTGCGTATTAATTACCACGCTGTCTCTCATTCGCCCTGGTTTTTTTTGGATTTTTTATTGTTTAACTTAATATTGCTCTCAGTATTTTGGTATTACAAAAAGAAATCAGCAATACTAGATGGTAACTGATTGGATGTTCAGTTAAACTACACAAATTTTTGCCAAAGTTATTCTAAAAATAATAAAAGATTTTACTTACCGGAGTAAAGTACTTAAAGTAATTTGTCTGATGACACAGCATTGTAAAAGAGGTGCTAAAATAGACATTTCATCATGGAAAGGTTTTCCAAAACCTCTTCCATGGTCCAGATGTAATGTAAAACTATCGTTTCCAAAAATTCTAAATGTCTCATAATGATGGCGATCCATGTTGCCTGTTAAAAAATCGAAGACTGCCATGTCCATAAGATCAAGCAATCGTCGACCTTCATTATACGGTGGAATTTCTTTTACCAGAGTGCAGTAATCGGAATCTGTAATTTTGAAAGAAAAATGTATAAATTAGGACTATATTTAAAACATATTTGACGCTCGTCATAATTTTCCTTCCCTAATAGTACAGGGATGTCCCGTCAACTAAACGGGATATTTTCAGGACATTCTGTTATAGTCCAGGGACATTCTGAGGATGTGGACTATCAAATGAGCGCCTCATTATGTCCTACATACATCATTAGGACATCCAAATCTGAAGTCCTAAAGATATCCATCCGTAATCTTTAGGACAATTAATTCTATTATTTCACATATAGCATAGGTCTTCAAGAGATGTCCTAAAGACATCCTAAGGACTAAGAACTATCGCAGAATATCTCGGATAAAGTGTGCTCAATTTGCAAGATTAAAATATTTTACAAAATACTATATTCAATAACTTCGTTGGTATAAAAAAAGTATAATACAATCATATCTTGCACTAAGTACATACGAAAACTCAGTACAAAAAATTATGACATGTCTAAGCTTACATAAACTTGGATATACAGAGATTATGACTAAATTTTAAATGAAAAAAATAATACCATCTAGTGGCAAACCTAGAATATTAGAAAATTTAAAAAATAGATTCCAATTACAATCGGACATTTTAGGACTTCAGATTTGGATGTCTTGTGGATGTATGTAGGAAATAATGAGAGGCGCTTATTTGATAGTCCTCAGGTGTTTAGGACATTTTTAGGCGCTTATTTATTAGGGTTAAGGACATTTAAAAATTTTGATTTTAGTACAATAATATCTCATATATGTTTCAGGATATTCAGGACGTATTCAGGATTTTTATCCTGAAGATGTCTTGTGCTGTTAAAGTTTATTTATATATTGCATACGTAACGTAGGTTACTAGTGTCACTTCAAAAAATTAGAGATTATTCGTCTCATGATCAATACTCAGTTTGCTGCTAGATCCTAATCAATAAGTTCTAACGTTATCTCTTGTGTTTTACTTGTGTTCTCGCTTACCGATTCTGTGTGTTCTCGCATTAATAATCGGAATCCGAACCGAGAGAATATAGATGATAAATCTTCAAGTTATCGCGTACGTAGCTTCCGCGAGTAAATGGACCGGACAAAACTACTAGCTTGTTCGTTGAGTGTTGAATGTGATTGGTTGGATCTATAAGTAACAATCAATCCGCATGTTCATTTGCTTGACGAGCAGGCTAGTCGCTTTATCTACATGAACGCGTTCAGTATTTCATGCGCGAGGCACGCAAGATTTTCGTGTGAGAATATCTGAAGATTTCTGCAGTTCGCGATAAGATTTCGGTGTGCGTTTAAGTGCACAGAAGATTTCTGTTTTGTTTGTGTCAAGATTTTCGATTCGCTCACGCACTGAAGATTTCTGTTTTCGTGTGCATCTAAATTCCAAAATCTGATAACATGCAAATAGCCATATCACTTGATCAATTAATTAATTTGATTGGTGAATAAACAGCCTAACGAATAATTTCGAAGTCGTTATTTAAGTCATTTCACCTTGGTATGCGAACCTTCTTAATAAGATTATACCAATACAACATTAAATATAGATAATGAAAAATAAAGAAGAAGAATATTCTTGAGGCTTCTACGGGTACTTTCTATATAAAGATTATGCGTTTTGCGGGTTTTCTCCGTGTCCAGATCCATTCTTGGAACGCCAACGTTTCGTGAACTTTGCAGTTCACTTCATCTGGGCGAAGAATAGCCTGATATTGAGCTGTTCCCATGATGGAAGAGATAACATGATGTGCTCAGTTTGCAAGCATTTCTCTCTAAATTTCCACCGTCTCTTTTTGTGGATGTCGCCGAATGTCGCATAAGATTCAAAGGCTGCCAACTGTGAAACGCGAAACATGGGGCGGTATTCACGAAATGTTGGCATTCCAAGAATGGATCTGGACACGGAGAAAACCCGCGAAATGCATAATCTTTATAAAGAAGAAGAATGCAAAAAAGGAATATTTACTTTGATTATAACAATTTTATTGCAGTAATAGTAATTGTAGTAATAGGAATAAAAAGAAAAAACCTTATATTTTTTTTAGAATTCAGTTTTTAGATTTCTAAGACATCTTTCTAAGAAAATAATTATGTCTTACCATGTTCCCATTGGGCCTTCTTCCGTTTATGATAACTTCTACGCCAAGGATGCCGCCAAGCCTTTCTGGCCGCAAAAGTTTTATCTGGTAAAAAGGCGGCGAAGCTACCCTCCAAAGTATCGGGATTGCCGCAAACAGCATGTGCTGTATCGCAATAATAACTACATTTGCCGTGGAAGCACAGGTTGCCGGCCGGACTCACGAAGAACGTTTTAAGCAGTTCACTGTCGGCAATCTGGTAAATTTCCGTTGTAACATTAAGAGTTCGACCATTTACCGGCATCGCCCTGCGAAATCCTAAAAGCCTGCGAGCCAAAAACAAAAGATTTACAAAAAAATTTTAGATTATTAAATTCGCGTTGAATTATAAAATTACCTACAAATTTCATTCCTCATAGAATTGCGTTACGCATACATATCCTTGTATTTGAATAGAGAATAAAAGATTGTATAATCAAATTGAAGGCAAAATTTGTAAATTTATTGTTGTTCTCACATGTATGGTCCTATAGATTTAAAATTGTTTATTTACGTCCTAAATGACCGTTATTTCTACATATGCCAATTATTGCGAAGAATATTATTAAGGCCTCAGTAGTCTAAAAGCTTAGGACGTTCACACGGAGTGCTAGAGATCTGGGTTCGACTACCGGCCGAGGTAATTTTTTTTGCAATAAAAATTAATTATTTATAAATTTTAATATGTCATTCAGCATTATTAAGGTCGTTCTAAGATGCGTAAGAGATTCGAATTGTTAAATTGCTAGTCAATTTAACTGGTGATATAATTATATTACGGTAGTTCAGTGGAGTTTGTGTTTCAAGACTGGAAAATTATTTTGGTGCGCAAATACTACGTAGTATATAAATTCACACAGAATTATACAAGCATTTAAGATCCAGCTAGATCATTAAAGGCATTCATTTCCTATTGGTTGCGTTCTCACATGTACGGTCCTATAAATTTAATATTGTTTGTTAATTTATTTCTTTAGGGAAGAGAAAAATGGACACAATTTAGATATTATTTAAGATGAATGATTCGAAGTACTATCCCATCGCAGTTTTTTTTTCAATAATTAACAATACTTGTTATAAAAAGACATAGGGTAACTCCGGTATATACGCCGCACCTAACAAAAACTTAATTTATTAAAATAATATAATAAAGGATTACGAACTACTTTAGATCTTAGGGGGTTCCTAAATCAATTAATTTGATCGAGGTCGATAGTACAGACTTTTTAATTCCAAATTCGATAATAGTGACATCTTGGATTTATTTCTGACATTATAGGTATTATATATCGTTCTGTCTTATTACTGAAACGCATACATCTGTCCTTATCTAACATAACCAGCACCATCTATCGCAAGACTGCGCAACTACTGCTACATGGAATTTCGGCTCTGTTGACATTCCCAGTCTTCGCAAAACATCCATATACACGTATTTCTACACAGTGAAAATATTTTTCTTCTAGACCTTTAATCTTAGTTCTACCAACTCGGTATCGTTAGTTCCAGTAATGTGACCTCAGTTGCACGCTTGTTGTGTGATAGCGAGTTAACCTAATAACTCTACTGTTTTTTCGCTTAAGGGGATGCTAAACCGATTACCCAACTCAATCAAGGTCGATAGTACAGACTTTTTTAATTCCAAATTCGATAATAATGGTGACATCTTTGATTTAGTTTTTACATTATATTATATAATATATATCATTCTGTCTTACTTAAACGCATACATCTGTTCTTATCTAACATATGCCAGCACCATCTATCGCAAGACCGCACAACTACTGCTACACGGAATTTCGGCTCTGTTGAC